TCTCTCTCTCTCTCCCCGGTCCCCTGCGGCACCGCACGCGGACCCCCCAGCCCGTCCCGCAAGAGAAGCGTTCCAAAAAGCGCGGGGCACGATAAACAGCGCGGCCCCTAACACACGGCCACCGCACAGCGTTCCAAGAAGTGCGCAGCCCGACGCGCGCCACGCACGAAAAATAATGCAGCCCGCGCGACGATGTGGGACTCGGCACTGCTCGGCCCCCGCCTCGGTCCCTTTCCTCCTTCGACGAACGTCGCTGCGCCGCAGGACCGCCTCATATCATTTTCCTTGTGCAGTTTCCGCTGGGCCCAACGACTGCCGTTACGCTGGGCCCTTTGTAGTTTTTATAAGGTATAGAGATTTCTTTAATTATCTGGAGTTGGAGTTATCCTGGCCAGTTTAAGAAGTGGAGGGCGCTGCCAGGAAAACTCCAGGTGGTTGAATTGTGTGCGAGGACTGAGCCCTCACAGGGCCCCGGCAGACATGCAAGTGTTCTAGGTTGTGGGGGGTGCAGCAAGAATTGTGCCCGCCCTAAACTAATAAGTGAAGGGGGGCCTGAATATCCACCAGAGGCCTGTTTACAACATTTTCCATATGTGGGTGGTTACTCAGAGAGTTGCAGCACGGCAGTTGGTTAGCGGGGAAACATGAGCCTCCAGGCTCTTTCCAGCAACAGGCGCTGCGCTGTAAAGTTGAGCGCAGGGCCGGGTGGTTGCGCCCTGGGCACACGCAGTGTGAGGCCGACTCATCAGGGAGCGGCCACGGACAAATGAGAAAGCAGCATTGTCGTCACACGGTCTCCGCGAGCCAATGAGAATGCGCCCAACACTTGAAGCCTGGACGGCTACCAGTAGGTGCCCAACCAAAAAGGGCCCAGGCCTGGGCACAGAGTCATAGACACTGGGGCTTGTCGACTGGAAGCGACTGGAAACGTCCCCAGCCAGGCCCACGCAGACACAGCAGGGGCTGCACTTTCCATAAAGGAAAGAGGCCAGCTCAGGGCAGGGCATTCTGGCCTAGGCAGGCAATGCGGACACACTGCTGTGTTGCTGCACAAGTGTCTACATGGGCGCTGCTAGTCGGACGCGCGCACAGGCGCAGTGGTGAGAGGGGCGCTGCTGAGGCAGCGGGCGTACAGCAGCCTCAGCCGGGCAGCTGGGCCGCAGGGCAGGCAATGGCGATGGTGGTCTTCGGGTAGGAGGCGCATGAAGCTCAGGGGATCCAAGGGGTGATGAGGGAAGGAGAGAGAACGTACCTGGTGTATGTTGGTGGTCGGCATTGGTGCTGACATCACGTACATTGGTCTTCGACTTCAGAGTCACTGTGATCCACTTGCAAGTACATAGATAGGCAGCATAGGCCAGATAGGCTGAGTAGGATATGCGGGGCGCTGGGCGCCATACATCATTAAGTGCAGACATTTTTCGATACAGTGTTGGTGTGACCAGAGAGTGGCGACATTGACAGACTGAGCTAAGTTCATTGTACTGCTATTATTTGGACGCTATCTTGGTCCATTGCTCTCTCTCTCTCTCTGCTTGGTTCATGACTATCTGAGCTTCTTCGTGATTTTGCAACTTGGTTTTCTGTCTATCACTCTTGCTCATATTCCTTGCATGTGTGCTCCCCGACCTCAATATAACCTGCTCCTGCTGTAAAAAAAAAAAAAAGGCAAGCTGACAGTCGATCCTCCAGGAACGGAGCAATCAATATAATGCCGTTCAGATATCATTCGACCAAACGGAGACGTAACTTAAAGCGTGAGTGAGTACTTGTTGTGAAGTAAAGACTCGCCGCCGAAGTTTCCAGTGGGGAAAAAAAAGGGACTCCCAGACTGATGCAACCCAGAATGGATATGGACCCAGAACCACAAGGACCTGTTTTATTTCCCTCCTCCCCCCTCCCCCCCCCCCAAAAAAAAAGAAAAAAAAAAAGAAAACGCCTCGAAAAGGCCTGCCATGGTCCAAATGGTTCATGCTCAACCCGTTTCGGAACAATGTCATGTGCTTACCGTCTTCACCCGAATAGAACGCCCGGTCATTATCGCGGTATGTAGACTGAAAAGTGGACCAAATATGGCTATAATGACTGGGCGTTCTATTCGGGTGAAGGTGGTAGTTTGGACGCCGCCATTTGCCAGAATTTGGCGGCTCGGGACAGGAAACCCTCTCTGCACTACCTTCTTCCCCCGAATACAATGTACGGTCATTATAGCTGTATTTGAGGCATCTTTCAGTCTAGATACGGCTATAATGATCGTACGTTGTATTCGGGGGAAGAAGGTAGCATCACCAGTGATATGGAACACGGTGTGGATATGCGTGCCACTGCTACCGTCGTCCCCCAAACACAATGCACACTCATTTTGACCGTACTGGACTGGAAACTTAGTTTTTATGCGTTCGTTAGCAGGGTGCGCTATGTCGGGGGGGGAAGACGGTAGTAAGCCCTTGGCTATTCAACTAAATAAAATGCCTGGTCATTATCGCTGTATGTAGACTGAAATTGCACCAAATACAGATATAATGA